AGACTTAGATACAAAGGGCAAAAGTATAAAATTTATGCATGAACATTGGAGAAAATCTTAAGTGACCTTGGCTTAGGCAAAGATTCCATAAAAATAACACTAAGTAATGATTTATAGAAGAAAAAAAATGTTAATTCAAACTTCATTAACTTTAAAAACTTTAGCTCTTCAAAAGGCACCAGTTAGAAAATAAAAAACCCATAGATTGTTTTTTATGAAGATATGAAAATATGAAAGATATGAAAATGTCTATAAATCATATGCTTAATAAAAGCAAAACTTGTATCTAGAATATATAAAAAAAACTCATACCGTTCACAAGAAAACAGTCCAATTTTCAAAATGGGTAAAAGATTTGAATAGATATTTCACCAATAGTACACAAATAACTAATAAATGAGAAGATGCTTGACACATCATCAATCATTGGAATATGCAAATTAGTACCATGAGATACCACTGCACACCCACTAGAAAAGCTTTAATCTGAAAGAGTAACAATATCAAGTATTGGTAAGGATCTGGAGAAACTGCATTGCTAGAGTAATATAAAATGGTACTACCGCTTTGGAAAATAGTTGCTGTTTCTTTCAGAAATTAAATATATACTTATCATAGGACCCAGTGATTATACTTTTTAAGTCTCTATGCAAAAAAATGAAAACATATGTCCACAAAAAGACTTGCATACAAATGTTACAGCATATTTTGTTAGAGTATTATGTTACTCATAACAGCCCAAAACTGGAACAGTTCAAATGCCCCCTAACTGGTGGTTAATGGATAAACAAAATATACTATAGCTATACAATGGAATACTACTCAGCAATAAATAAGGTTAAAGCTGTAACATGAGTGAACCTCAAATATATACTAAGTGAAAGAAGCCAGCCACAAAAGACTACATGTTGTGTGATTCCATGTATATGAAGTGTACAGAAAAGACAAGTCTATAGAAACAGAAAGCAGATTGATGCTTGCTTGGAGCTGAGGGTAGGAGCAGGGATTGGGAAGAAAAAAGAAGGGCTTTTGGGAGCAGTGATGGAAATACTCTAAATATTAATATGAGGATGGTCTCATAACTCTAATAATTTGCTTTAGAAATCTTTGAATGTTTGCTTACAATGGATGAATTTTATGTAATCTAAATTATTTCCCAATAAGGCTATTTAAAAAAACAAACTCCAGAAAAGAAAAATTTCATATGAGAATGTCATGGACCATATGTGAAACAAATAAAATGAGGCATGATTATGATTCATTGATGGAGTGTACAAGACTGTTCACCTTGAGTGGAATAGGACTTATAATATTGAAATATAGGAAAGGAATTGTCATCAGAGCACTTTTGTTCAGCAATTAACAAATTTTACATATCATAAAAATGCAATCATTTACATTAGTCTTCAATTTTTAGAATCAACCTGTAGACACAGCATGGGAGATTTTAATCGGTTATCAAAACCACATTAAATTTATCCTCCTTGAGTTGAGAGAGGCTGGAGAAAGGGAAGGAATGTTAACAGACCCATCTCAATGATGAGTTTGGAGATGCCGTTGAAAGTTGATGAAGCCAGAGATAGTGGTTCTAATATTGGAAACTACAAAGGTAACTAACAGAGAAACTAAAAATGGTGATTCAACCATCAAATATGCAGGAATGATGTAATTAAGGTTTACGCTCATGTATCATTATGAGATTCCAGAGAGCAATCAATTCTGAGAGGTGCCTCAATTCCTGCCCTTTGTAACCTAATAGTTGGGATTCTCCTGGATTTCTATAGACTCTTCTACTTCTTTAATACAACCATCCTTTCTGTCACTGTTTACTTTTCACTAGATTTTAAGTGTTATATTCTATCCCAACAAAGAAATACACAGTAAAATACTATGTGAAAATGGAAATGTTGTATTACGTGATCTAGTTAATTACAGTAAGTGTGTCTAATAAGTCTCAGTATTATAAGTCCTCCTGACGGCAGCCAAAAAACACCATCTAATATTTTTATTAAGATATCATTGATATGCAATCCTATGAAGGTTTCACATGAGCAACATTGTGGTTATTACATTCACCCATATTATCAAGTCCCCCCCATGCACCCCTCTGCAGTCACTGTCCCTCAATGTAGTAAGATGCTACGGAGTCACTACTTGTCTTCTCTGTGCTATACTGCCTTCCCCATGACCCCCATATATTAAGCGTGCTAATCAAAATGCTCCTAAATCCTCTTCTTCCTCCCTCACCAGGCACCCTCCTTAACCCCTTCCCTTTGGTAACTGCTAGTCCCTTCTTCGAGTATGTGAGCCTTCTGCTGTTTTGTTTCTTCAGTTTTGCTTTGTTGTTATACTCCATAAATGACTGAAATCATTTGGTACTTGTCTTTCTACACCTGGCTTACTTAACCAAGCATAATACCCTCCAGCCCCATCTGTGTTACTGCAAATGGTAGGATTTGTTTTCTTCTTATGGCTGAATATTGTGTATATATACCACATCTTCTTTATCCATTCATCTACTAATGAACACATAGGTTGCTTCCATATCTTGACTATTGTAAATATTACTGCAATAAACATAGGGGTACATATGCTTTTTTGAATCTGGGATCTTGTTTTATTTGGGTAAATTCCTAGGAGCGGAATTCCTGGGTGAAATGGTATTTCTATTTTTAGTGTTTTGAGGAACCTCCATATTGCTTTCCACAATAGTTGAACTAATTTACATTCCCACCAACAGTGTAGGAAGGTTCCCTTCTCTGCATCTTCACCAGCATTTGTTGTTTCTTATCTCTTCAATGTTATCCATCCTAACTGGTGTGAGGTGACATCTCATTGTGGTTTTAATTTGCATTTCCCAGATATCTTGCCATGTGCCTGTTGGCCATCTGAATTTCTTCTTTGGAGAATTGTCTGTTCAGATCCTCTGCCCATTTTTTAATTGTGTTACTCGCTTTCTGGGTGTTGAGGCATTTGAGTTCTTTATATATTTTGGATGTTAACCCATCAGATATGTCATTTACGAATATATTCTCCCATACTGTAGGATGCTGTTTTGTTCTACTGATGGTGTCCTTTGCTGTACAGAAGCTTTTTAGTTTGATGTAGTCCCATTTGTTCATTTTTGCTTTTGTTTCCCTTGCCTGAGGAGATGTGTTCAGAAAAAAGTTACTCATGTTTATATTCAAGAGATTTTTGCCTATGTTTTCTTCAAATAAGTTTATGGTTTCATGACTTACATTCAGGTCTTTGATCCATTTCAAGTTTACTTTTGTGTATGGATTAGACAATAATCCAGTTTCATTCTCTTACATGTAGCTGTCCAGTTTTGCCAACACCAGTTGTTGAAGAGGCTGTCATTTCCCCATTGTATATCCATGGCTCCTTTATTGTATATTAATTAGCCATATATGGTTGGGTTTATATCAGAGCTCTCTATTCTGTTCCATTGATCTATGGGTCTGTTCTTTTGCTAGTACCAAACTGTTTTGATTACTGTGGCTCTGTAGCATAGCCTAAAGTTAGGAAGTGTGATCCCCCCAACTTTCTTCTTTCTTCTCAGGATTGCTTTGGCTATTCGGGGTCTTTTGTGGTTCCATATGAATTTTAGAACTATTTTTCCTAGTTTGTTGAAGAATGTCATTAGTATTTTGATAGGGATTGCATTGAATCTGTAGATTACTTTAGGCAAGATAGCCATTTTGACAATATTAATTCTTCCTATCCATGAGCATGGGATATGTTTCCATTTATTGGTGTCTTTTTTAATTACTCTCATGAGTGTCTTGTAGTTTTTAGGGTATAGGTCTCTCACCTCCTTGGTTAGGTTTATTTCTAGGTATTTTATTCTTTTTGATACAATTGTGAATGGAATTGTTTTCCTGATTTCTCTTTTTGCTAGTTCATCGTTAGTACATAAGAATGCCACAGATTTCTGTAAATTAATTTTGTATCCTGCAACTTTGCTGAATTCAGTTATTAATTCTAGTAGTTTTGGGGTGTATTCTTTAGGGATTTTATGTACAATGTAATGTCATCTGCAAACAGGGACAGTTTAACTTTTTCCTTACCAATCTGGATGCCTTTTATTTCTTTGTGTGGTCTGATTGCCATGGCTAGGATGTCCAGAACTATGTTGAATAGAAGTGGGGAAAGTGCGCATCCTTGTCTTGTTCCCCAACTTAGAGGAAAAGTTTTCTGCTTTTAGCTAGTAAGCATGATGTTGGCTGTACTTTTGTTGTATATGGCCTTTATTATGTTGAGGTACTTGGCCTCTATATCCATTTTGCTGAGAGTTATTATCATAGATGGATACTGAATTTTGTCAAATGCTTTTTCAGCATCTTTAGAGATGATCATGATCATGTGATTTTTGTCCTTTTTGTTGATGTGGTGTATGATGTTAATGGATTTTTAAATATTGTACCATCCTTGCATCCCTGGAATAAATCCTGCTTGATCATGATAGATGATCTTTCTGATGTATTTTTGAATTTGGTTTGCTAATATTTTGTTGAGTATTTTTGCATTTATGTTCATCAGCAATATTGGTCTGTAATTTTCTTTTATTGTGGTGTCTTTGCCTGATGTTGGTATCAGAGTGATGCCTGCCTCACAGAATGGGTTTGAAAGTAGTCCCTCCTCTTCTACTTCTTGGAAAATTTTAAGGAGGATGGCTGTTAGGTCTTCTCTAAATGTTTGATAAAATTCAACGGAAACACCATCTAATTTTAAGATTTAAGTAATAAATGTGATATTTTGATCTCCAGTTATTTTAAACCTTTGTTTTCTAATTCTCAATTGATTCAAAATTAGTGGAGAAGAGCAATAGCATTTATTTAGTTTACAGAAAGATCACATACTACCTATACTATGTTTCTGTTTTTGAAAAATATGCATATGTGAAAACACACACAAAAGAATGGAAAGTAATGCAAATAGTAATTATTGCTTATGACAGTGTAACAGAAGAAATTTATTTTCTTCCTTTACTTTCACAGGCTTCTTGAATTATTTTCCAAATACAATATGCATTAATTATTAAATAAGAAGAAAAATTATTTACTTCCTCTTTGGAAATTTTAAAACCTTGGGCCTCATATCAGGAAAGGCATACCAGCCAAAAGAACAAAGAGAAGAAGCATTTGCTCATCAGCAACCAACTTAAATCACCCCTCTGAAACATTCCCGTAAGTATTTGGTAAGATCCTGTCTTAGGGCTGGCCAAAACACCTTATATGCTCAAAATGCTTATGCCCAGCAACTCCTATGCCTGGATTAGTTTCATATACTTTTCTAGCCACAGTGAGAAACTCTGATCACATTTTAGTAGTAAAATCTTGAAAAATTTCAGAGCAGATCATCTCACTTTGATTCAGTTTTTTGGAGATCAAAATAAAAAAGAAGAACTAGAAATAGCACATAATATATCCTAGCAGAGTCTACCCTGCTGCTAAGTAAAGTTGCTTTCTCTTTTCATTGACCAACAGTATGGCTTGCACCCAACCAGTCCCTGCTTGGGGCCAGAATCAGAAAATACTCTCTTCCTAATTTATGTTCCATTGACTTTTTATGGTGGTAGGTATTGATCTTGCTTTGTGGCATCAGATCAGATGCTGCAGCTCAATTCAGGGCCAGGATCATGACTGTAGGTGATCAGCCTTTAATGGGAAGGAGAAATTGAGGTGGAAAAATGATTTATTTTGCTTCTATATGGTCTTTTATTACAGACGCAGATGTTGGAAGCTTTCCCAGCGATAATCAGCCACCAAGTGGGGCAGGTGAGCTGCCCTGCTTTCCAGGAGTGCCACAGCCATAAAACAAACCAAACATTCCAGGAGTGACTCATTTGATTAGAGGAGCCAAAAACAGCACTGAGAACAAAAGAAGAAAAAGAACAAGGATTATTTTTCAGTAGGGTTACTGATGGACTCTAGGCACGGACAATGAGTGGATGGAAGAATGATTTTCTGCTTATTGTATAAAATTAGATAGACTCAAACATCATTAATATCTTTATTCCTGACATGAGAGCAAGAATGGCTTGACTTGGGCAACATCCTTCTGTCAAATACTTTCTTTTTTTTTTGAGAGGGCATCTCTCATATTTATTGATCAAATGGTTGTTAACAACAATAAAATTCTGTACAGGGGACTCAATGCTCAATGCACAATCATTAATCCACCCCCAGCCTAATTCTCGTCAGTCTCCAATCTTCTGAAGCATAACGAACAAGTTCTTACATGGTGAACAAATTCTTACATAGCGAATAAGTTCTTACATGGTGAACAGTACAAGGGCAGTCAACACAGAAACTTTCGGTTTTGATCACTCATTATGAACTATAAATAATCAGGTCAAATATGAATATTCGTTTGATTTTTATACTTGATTTATATGTGAATCCCACATTTCTCCCTTTATTATTATTATTTTTTTTAATAAAATGCTGAAGTGGTAGGTAGATGCAAGAT